ATCCTTTGCTTGCAACGTAGTGCCATGCCATCATGTTCCCAGGCAGCCGTTAGATCCACAAGAAAATAGGCAAAAAAGCGAATGATCGATGATAAGAGCACAAAAGTTGTTATAGATTCTGATACAGACAAATTTGAATATGAAAACAACCAAGACGAGACATGTGTTGGGGATAGGAATGAGGATTTTGGTGAAAATCAGGCAAGTGAACCCGAAGATAAAGAAGGCAAAGATGATGCCAAGGCAATTGCAGAAGTTCATTGCCTGGATGCAGGTCTAACTTCCCCATCAGGAGCTGCAGTAAAGCAACATTCGCTATGTGCTGCAACACAATGGAAGGGTCAGTCTAGATATAAAAAAAGAGAGTGCGAAGGCAAGTTATATATGTTGTAGCTAAAATTCTACTTTCATTTGTTATTGCACTTTGTAAATGATATAAAAATTGATCATTACAAAAACATTTTCTATTCTTGACTTAATATAGATGCGGAAGATGGCCGAATGCACAAGACATTGCGGACAACAAGGCACAACACCCTCATCAGGTCTACTGATTATCAGCTCCAAATCCAGGCACAACACCCTCATCAGGTCTACTGATTATCAGCTCCAAATCCAGGCTACTTTGACACAATGTAGCCGGAAGATTGCGAATTTCACATGGCAAGACAAGAGGTAAAATCTTTTTTCATGCAATAATATTCAGAGTAATATGCTATTTTTATTCATATTCATTTATAATTGAACTTAACATTGTTAACTCAATGTTCAATGTAGTGAGATATTAGTGTCTATGTTCGGATTGAGCCCTAACCGAAGAGATATGCAATCCTTGCGGGAGAAGCATTGGGTATCAGATAGGGTAAGCCACGAGAAAAGAAAAATTATTTTATTTGACTAAGTTAACTGCTGTAGTTGTGGAGATAGTCTCACCTTTTGAAATGCTAAAATATTTTATTGTTATACTCACCCCTCTTTTAGGTCGTTGATATGTATGCAAGATTATTGAATAATGATGTGAGTAAAAGACTGATGAAGGTTAAGCGGTACATTGTCGAGCCATGTGTTGTTGTAAGTATAATGACCAACTTTTTTTTACCACCAACTAACATCATGCATATACAGTTTCACTTATTGTTAGTTTATTAGAAAATTTGATTCCAATGTTTATTAAATAGTATGAATTGCTCGTGCAATTTCTAACTATCGTATGACTTTCGATCCAATTTCATTGATTTGTTGGGTAGGCTGCCATTCAATGTATAGACCGATTTGAGAAAAAGTCTGATGATGTCCTATATTCGAAACTGAACAAGTGGTTCAAAATAAGAGCAGATAATACGTCAAGTCTAACAAATGCCGATATGGTGATCAATCTCTTATAACTGCGGGATCAAATACCTTTTATTTTATATCAAAGATGTTGCATTTGTAAAGTTTAACACATTATATTTTCAGATACTGGTTCCAGTGATGAACAAAAGTCACTGGTTTGTATACTCATTTGATATTGCACAAAGCATTGTTCATCTCCTTGACTCACGAGTTGATTCATCACGGGTTCGACAGACTAACATCTTACGACAACTGGTGAAATCTAAACACTATTTATACCTTGAATTTTTAATGCATCTGTTTCATGGCTTTATATTATATAACTAGTGAAAAAGTGTAATCAGGAAAATTATATTTTTATGTTGTAGAGGCGAATCTTGGGCTTAATAATGGCAAAACAATTTGATAAGTTGGTGGATTTCAAGGGATTTGTATTGCAAGTCACAGATGTGCCTCAACAGTCTCCACACAATAGGTATATGTCCTGTAAATAAGAGTTTATTTATATTCTATCTTGAAATATAACTAAATACTAAGTTATATTATTAGGATGGTAAGGTAAAACTTGTATGTCCTACAATCTGGTTGTCACGACAATGTATACCTCGTGTTTCAGCTATGATTGTGGTGTGTTCATAATGAAATTTCTAGAGCACTGGAATGGAAGATTAGGCATACGCATTACGGAGGTATATATATTATTTTGATTTATAGAAATTTTTTTGTAGCAATTATTTTTATGATGACTAATGTATAACATGTGGTGCTGATTATTTCAATGCTTGGATAGGATAACATGTGGAAGCATCGAGTGCAATATGTGTCTATGTTGGTTGCAACCGAGCATAACAAATGGGCCGAATCCATCCTTGAGTTGTTAAATATCCCTCCCCGACGAAAAAGCCAGTTGTAATAAATGATTGACAAATATTTAGTAATTTATGAGTTGTGTTGCGTAGAATTTTGTACTTGTGTTGTGTAGAATTATCTCCTTTTGGGATTACTGTTGGGAGCAAAGTTCATTAGCTATGAAGTTTTTACTACTAGTGGGACATATAGAATTTTGTGTTGGGAGCAAAGTTCAATAGTGTTGGGACATGCTTCATTTTTTGTTTGCGGCAGACAGGGTTGGGACACCACGATGAATATATAACTTCTTGTAATCAATTGAATAGAAGTAAAAGGTGTAAAACTATTCTGCATTGATTGCAATTCTTAAACTACTATCTAATATAAAAGTAAAACAATCATTTTAATATTACATTGTTTCAATCCAGTTCCAAAAGGGTCACAAGATACATCAGCTTAGCATACATATTCATGGAAGGCAATTAGCTTCTACCCATTTATATCGTAGGTAGTTGCACTTCTTCGTCGCTTAATTGCATGAGAGTACTGCTCGTTGACCTTTTCACAGAGGCCACAATGGGGGTCTGGCAATCATTGAAACAAGCAATAAATTATTTAAATCAAAAGTTCAGTGTTCATAAAAGCATGCCCTACAATAGTCTTGTAACAAGGTTAGAATAGTTCTAAATAATAACTCTAAATAATGAGCTTTTTAAAGAATTACTGACCATTAAGAATTCGGTGAAACTTGTGTACTTTGTCTTGCTCACAGGATCGTTGAGAAGCAAAAGTGGGAGATTGTTACGATCTTGAATACGGATATTTTGAGCACTCAGTATTTGAGGAGTGATTCCAGCTTCACTGGGCTACCATTAAGTATTGTACTGAATAAGATACTGTAAATTTGTCCAAAATCTTGATTATCCACACAACTGTAATATCTGACTTACCATCCTACAAGACTGCATATCTGAGTGAATAACTGGGGAAGATCCAAAATTTGATTCACTGAATGGCTGTTATCACGAGTAGCACATAACATTAGTTGCAAAGTCATGCTAACACTGTGTATAACAACAAACTAACTAATTTATAAAAATTAAATACACATTGTGTCCACAATTTAAGATGTTAGGTCGTACGAAAATTATGATGCAAATGTGTACATAATATATAACAACGTGTTCAACTGAATTAACAATATGTAAACAAAAATCAACCAAAAGTAATCTAACAAAAATCAAAATTCAGTACATACGTGATCATAAATGAATACATTGTAAAGTTATACTACAAACTTATGGACTACTATGGATATAACACATAACCAATGCATTAGATTGAAGTAACTATGCAATAGATTTCAAATGATATGGTTTGTAGTGTACAAGATAAAATACACCATGTACCAGAATAATAACACAATGTCAAAATTAAATAACGGGTGATAAATAATTGTAACTTGTACGATTGAAAAAATAAATGTGAGCAAATAAATTAATAATGTGTAAAAATTTTTATCCAAATGTGTAATCATGTGTCCAAATGGAATTATTCATATTTCAAAATAAAGTAACTAGTGGTACATGGTATCAATCAATGCGTACAACATATATATTAGTTTGTACACATCAAACAACAACATGTAAATGTTATTAAATCAAGAGATCTCCGTACTGTGTACCAACTAATATACACTGTATACCAGAATAATAACACGATGTCAAAACTAAACAACGGGTGATAAATAATTGTAACTTGTAATTGAAAAAATAAATGTGAGCAAATAAATTAATAACGTGTAAAATTTTTTATCCAAATGTGTAATCATGTGTCCAAATGGAATTATTCATATTTCAAAACAAAGTAACCAGTGGTACATGGTATCAATCAATACGTACAACATATATATCAGTTTGTACACATCAAACAACAACATGTAAATGTTATTAAATCAAGAGATCTCCGTACTGTGTACCAACTAATATACACCGTGTACCAGAATAATAACACGATGTCAAAACTAAACAACGGGTAATAAATAATTGTAACTTGTACGATTGAAAAAATAAATGTGAACAAATAAATTAATAATCTGTAAAAAATTTTATTCAAATGTGTAATCATGTGTCCAAATGCAATAACGATATTTCAAAACAAAATAACCAGTGGTACATGGTATCAATCAATGCGTACAACATATATATCAGTTTGTACACATCAAACAACAACATGTAAATGCTATTAAATTAAGAGATCGCCGTAATGTGTACCAACTAATATGTACAAAATATGATATTACTGTGTCAAAAATAAATAACATGTGATGAACATCCTATCACTAATATGTCTACCTTAATAACCAATGTGTACAAGTAAAATATTAATTTGTAACACCTAAATAACTAACAGTGAACTATAATGCACATTATGTAAAGTATAAAAATAACTACTTACTGCCACAGAATTATTCGATGACAAACATTTGCTTGATGTTTGACTTTGGATAGGTTGATAGGATTCTGATGACTGACAAGAGAAGATTATACAACAACTCAGTCGGCTTATGATAGTAGAGTCAATTGAAATGATATAGTTATGTAAGTCCAAAAATAAGTTTCGGTACTAACCATCTCAGGAGTGCTTGCCTCAGACAATCTAGAGTTTTTCTTTTGCCTATGAAATCTGTCCACCCAACTACGCAATACTTTTTTAGTTTTTCTGCCACTTCGTTTCTTCAAACCCGTTAGAGTCACAAAGTGGCCAGCTGCATTCTGCACCTATATTCCCTTACATAGATCCATTGATGCACTATTCTATGTTATTTCATCTATTTCTCCACAAAATAGCATTTCGACTCTCTTTGACAATTCAGACATTACGCTACTGACTAACTTTGTAATGGCTTCTGACATGGCAGCCCTGGTAGCAAGTCTTACCATTTCGGGTGCTAATAGCCTATATCGATAGGAAATAAAGAGAGACGGATCTGATGATATTTCTCTACCCTTGCAATCGACGCTGTCTCCGGACCTTGCCTTCTTTGTCCACTTCTTTGTCACATATTGATCAGGAATAAACTTTGTTCCAACCATATCATACACCTTTAAAGCATGTGAGCATAGGATTCCTTCTTGCTCAAAAAGATTACAACTATAAGTAATGTCTTTAGTTATTGGATTCAATATCACTCTTCTCTCCCTTCCTCCATCATAGTGACTGGCACTGTATTCCACATGCATTGTAGTATGCTTTTGGTCCAAGATCACCATTGTAGTGGATTCATCGTATTCATTCTGGAATGCAACAACCATGCATGGAGAGTATATAGGAGCTGCCTGGATCAGTATGGGAGTCTGTTGCAATCCCAACATTGGCAGCTTCTGTCGACTGTGATACTCAACTCTTAGTTCATTATATCTTTTTTCATCCACAACTCGGTTAAAATGTTTGAAGAATTGAGCCAGATCATGATCAAGTTTCAGATAATTTTTTATGGAAGCATTTAGACTCTCACTTAGTTGGGTGCTACGCATACCTGCAGTCCAGGCGCCTTTTATGAAGCATTTTGCCCATTTCTTTCGGCATGCATAAATGCCACACAACCATTCATTTGTTTCGAGCTTGTGTTCTTTTAGCATTGCATCCCAGACCATGATAAACTCATTTTCATCTTCTATCTCATACATACATTCAGCAAATCTATATGGGAAATTACTACCATCCTTGTAATAGTTCCCAAGGTGTTTCATGAAATTGACTCTAATATAAAAAGTGCACAGACCATGGTATGTTGAAGGCATAACAACTGAAATTGCAGCGGCCATAGCTGCATCCTAATCTGTGAAGATGGTTTTTGGGTGCCTTCCACAAACTGCCTCTACAAATGTACCGAACACCCACTTGAATGATTCAATGGTCTCATCATACAATAGAGTTGCTCCAAAAATAACCAATTGTCTAAATTGATTGAATCCCACAAATATGCCCAATGGTCTATACTCCTTGTTAGTTTTATATGTGGTGTCAAATGTAACCACATCCCCAAAATAGGTATAATCCATTAGCATTGATGCATCAGCCCAAAATATATTTGTAATTTGTTCTTCACAATCAAGCTGCTCTGCGTGGAAGAATGACGGATTTTCCAATTTTTGTTCTTCAAAGTATCGTAGCATTGCACCAGCTTCACCATACTTTAATCCCCTCTCTCTTTTTATTCGTAGATAGCGTTTTAAGTCATCACGAGTGTAGCCAATATTGCCTAATCCACCTGCCTCTTTTCCCATGAGTTCATGGGATTGTTTCAAGGATATTCCTGCATCATTTGCAATCTCAGCTTGGGCTCCTTGAGAAATACTTACTTTTCTTTGCGAACGCATCATATGAGTACATTCTGAAATATGTAGTGTGTGATTATGCTCGATTACCAGATCTCGAACATGATACTTCATTGTTTCTCTGTTCAAAATTATCCCCATTTTAGCTTCACATCCGATTTTTGTTTCAGCCTGAGTTCTCTTTGGTTTTACATCTCCTTCATACCGTGGTTTGAAACCTTCTCGGCAACATGTGTACCTTCTCGATGTAACTATACCGTCTTTATCCTTGTTCAAGTAGTCTTTCCGAACGCTGAATCCAACAACTAATCTGTACTTATTCTAGAAGTTGTATGCCTCATCTTCTGACTGAAACTCCATGCCGATCTTAGGACACAATGCTTCTTCCATTGTGCTGTATTCGACAAAAGCATTTTTTGCTATTATTTTTCAGGACAAACAATTATATTTATTTTTTATTTCTTTATTCACATCATAAGCACTTAATTATTTGTATTCACATATGTACATACTTTATAATGACGTGTACACACCTTACAATATTTTGTAAAATAATTTTTTTGGATGTGTATCTTCTCTGTAATAGGTAATCACATAACTCTAATAATTTACATAGCATATTTCACTACATAATATATACATTTCAAACAAATATTATAACCAATTTGTGTAAAATATCAGTATTTATATATTTTACAATCATATGCACACACTTTATAACAATGTGTACACCCTTTATATCAACTTGTAACATAACAAATGCATGTATGCCTCATACACTTTTACATAGCGTAAGGTTTGACAGAATTCTCAAAATCTATACATTGTCATCTATACCGTTTGTGTAGTTATTTAAGTTGGTCACATTGTTAAGTTATTTTTACGCTTATGTTATTTTATTTGTACACATCCTTATTTATATTTTGAAATTCTGTACGGGATCTTTATTGTACAAGTTAACCATTCTCTCTAAAAGGATAATGACATACTTCTTATAATTTTTAAATCATGCTTCACTAAATAACACATTTATTACAATCAAATTACATATAATATTAGCGTTTACCTTGGACAGAGTTCACCATGCAGTAAATTTTAGATGGGCCGCTCACAAGTCTCGGCTATGCATTTGTTACTCGATGAATATCTATCTCAGTCATCCACTACTTAAATCGACGTGTATTGTTGCTGCAGCAAATCTTCACAATTATCTTGTGCACACCTCAGAAAAGATGCCCGTTTTGATAGGGTTTATTTAAGAGTTGGAAGAGAAGAAGACAAAAATTTATGTCTATGTTATGCGAAATAATTTGTTGAGAGGAGAAGAACAGAAGGAGCTTGTTGAAAGGAGAAGAGCAAAAGGAGCTACAACGACAATGTATTGTGTTCAGAGAAAATCCATTATCGCCATTTTCTTCCCACATCTTTTAAGTTGAAAGAGTTTTAAATCCCGCACGATCGTACCAAAAGTTGATTTTCAAATTTTGATTTTGAATTTTTCATACCCTTAATAGCCAGACCAAACGGAGTTAAAAGTTAAGCTTGCATTAAAGCAACAATCCTCTACACTCATCTCCATTTTGTTCGATTTCATTTTGGCCGTTGATGATGGGCCCACCACATCTTGGCCATGAAAAGTTTATAAGCGGTTGTCTGACAACCGCTCCAGCCCCTCGTCCAACAGCCGGGAAAGGCTTATAATAAAGGCAGAAAAGACATATTGTCTAAACAAATGCAGCAACCAGTTGTATCAGCTGCAAGAAAAAGAACAAGCAAGAAGTTGAAACGACAAAAGTGCCCCCAGGAGAGCAGATGAAATGCAATGAATAGTAACCCTCAAAACGTCTTCTTATATGTTATTCTCTCCCCATCATAAATGCTTGTGGGCCATTATGCATTTACTTTACATATTTATCCTCCATTCTTGAATTTCAAGGGAGACAAGTAGTGATACAAGAAATTTTGCACTATTTCAAGGGTATTTTTGAAACTTGAGGGAGGATAGCTGCGTACATAGGAAGTATAAATCTGGTGTAGAGGACATAAGTGGACAACAAAGGCCCTATGATAAGTATACAAAGGGCAGAAGGGACATCTTACCTAGCACAAAAGCAGCAGCCAGTTGTACCAGCTGTAACAAAAAGAACAAGCGACGGCCTAAAATGACAAAAATGCCCCCAGGGAGAGCAGATGAAAACCAATGAACAGTAACCCTCCAAACGTCTTCTTATATATTATAATGATAGTAGAAACCTTCCTTGAGGTTTCTCTTAATATCACTTAGCACCCCTGAAGTTTTAGAAATATCACTTATCTTCCCTAGTAATTGTAAAAATATTATATTAACTCTCACTTGACACATAATTTACAAAATATCAAATAAATGAATCTCAAAAATTTTAAAAATAAACGAAAGTCACTTTCTTTTTTTCCCTTTTATTCATCATTCTCTCTCATTCATATTTTTTGGATGAATATGCAATATTTTATTTGTAAATTAAAATAAATTAAATTTTGTTTATCTTTTACTTTTCGTAATTGTGATAAAGTGGGGTATGATTTATTTGCTTATTTTAAGTTGATTTTTATAATGATTGGTATAGTTTAATGATTTGAGCAAGAATTGAGAAGATGTTGGAAAAAATATAAATTCATAAGAAATCGATTTTGAGCATATAAAATTAAATTGATGCAATTGTATTTCTTTTTAAATGATTTTTTTTATTTTTCAAATTTATATTTTTGTGGGATATAGCATTGTGATGTGGTTGTACTATAGGAGATTGTTTTTAAGGTGATGGTTTTCTTGAAGTGAACAAAGTGGTTCAAGAATATTTTTATTTAGCAAGTGAAAGAATAGTTTACAGTTTTTAAAAATTTTTGTTACACAAGTAATAAAAGTAAGGGAGGTAAGTGATATTTTTAAAACTTTAAGAGTGTCATGATATTAAGAGAAATCTCAGGAGATGTTTATGATATTATCCCATATGTGTTTGGTTTCACAAAATGATGAGGGTTCATTCGGTTAGCTTTACCTCTAGATTATGCTTTATCCGTACTTTTAGGATTAAAAATTAAGTCAAACCAATGAAACCTAATTATATTCTTTACTTATATGCTTTTCTTTCGCATTTTTCCTTTTCCTTTTCATTGACAGCAGTTGGCTCCTCAATTTTTTTTCCTCTTTCTCTTTCTTGCTCTCCTTTTTGTGTAAAAACATATAGCGAAGCTTTTTGTGAATTGGCATAAATAAACTAACACTAATGAAAAATAATTATTTTAATGGTGAAATTCAAAGGAATGACTACTAATGTATCACTTTTGTGAGTTTGAATGGGCGATTTAAAACCAACAAATAACTTAGTGGCCAAAACTATACTACTTGAATAGTTTGGTTACTATTTAAGTTTTCTTAATGGTGATAAATTAGATTAAGTTACTTGTGAGAGGCATCGAAAGAAGCCAAAGTGGACTATTTACTTCATCATGAAATTCTTTTTAATAATAATAAATTAGATTGAGTAAATGGTGAGAGACAGTGAAGGAAGCCAAGGTGGATAAATTAGGTTAATAATAATAAATTCTTTTTATTTATTCCATCATCAATATTGCATCCTTAAAAGTTTGAAGTCATTAATCTTTTAAACATATAGCGAAGCTTTTTGTGAATTGGCATAAATAAACTAACACTAATGAAAAATAATTATTTTAATGGTGAAATTCAAAGGAATGACTACTAATGTATCACTTTTGTGAGTTTGAATGGGCGATTTAAAACCAACAAATAACTTAGTGGCCAAAACTATACTACTTGAATAGTTTGGTTACTATTTAAGTTTTCTTAATGGTGATAAATTAGATTAAGTTACTTGTGAGAGGCATCGAAAGAAGCCAAAGTGGACTATTTACTTCATCATGAAATTCTTTTTAATAATAATAAATTAGATTGAGTAAATGGTGAGAGACAGTGAAGGAAGCCAAGGTGGAAAAATTAGGTTAATAATAATAAATTCTTTTTATTTATTCCATCATCAATATTGCATCCTTAAAAGTTTGAAGTCATTAATCTTTTTCACACACTATCTATAATAAAAAAATTCATACAATATATATATATATATATATTGCATACTAGATTCAAAATGAAAACTACAATAGATCAACTTTCAAGAACGATTCAAAAGAATCAAGATAAACCGTTGAAAACTTTCAAGAAAATTACAATAAACCAACAATAGTTGAATAATGATTAATTAAAAGTCTACTAACAAAAGTCCTAATGACACCTATGTATAGGCCAAAAACATCTGAAACCGAAAAAGTAAAAAAAAATCAAGAAAATGAGAAGACAGCCAAAAATCACGTTGTTGGCCAAGGCTGGATCCAATGCTAGATCAGAGGCTCTCCAAGTTGAAGCCGGGGTCGGATTGAAGTCAAACAGCTTCAAAATTCCTGCAATTCCAAACGATGTTGGATGATCCTTTTTTTTTTTTTTTGTCAGCAACAATACATTTGTATAATCTATTCTATCATAATCTAACGGGGAGGGGAAGTCTAAGGAGGCTGTGATAGGACCTAGTGGATATACAGACTCAACTAGATTAAGGGAGTGTTATGACACAACTCTTAGATTTTTTTCGCTGTAAGTGAGGTTTGAACCCTCACCTGGATGATCCATTCATTGGACAGTATTTTTATTTTTATTTTTTTGGTGTGCATACGGATTCTTGTTGTCCAAATTTTGTACTTGCAAGACTTTTTGGTTCCTGGATGACGTTTCACAATATAAAGTTCATTTCCACGCCTCTTTACTGCCTTATCCTATTCTTATTAATTTAATTAGGAATTCATCAAAATTGGTTATAATGATTGGTTAGAATGTAATCCAATAAATCTAATACAAAGATAATGCGATAAGAAAGGTCTGATTCATAATGCTTAAAGATTATCTCAAGCCCCTACCAATCAAAGAAAAAAGAGTGATTTTTTTCCCATTTCCATAATGTGTAAAAGATTAGGCAATAAAAATTTCATTCTATAATTAGGATAGAAATTGGAGCAGAAAATTTGAGTGAAAATGAAAAAGATTGAGAAAAAAAGAAGGAAAAGGGAAGCAACTTGGGTGAGGAGTCCTTGATTAA